TTAGGTTAGGTTAGGTTAGGTTAGGTTAGGTTAGGTTAGGTTAGGTTAGGTTAGGTTAGGTTAGGTTAGGTTAGGTTAGGTTAGGTTAGGTTAGGTTAGGTTAGGTTAGGTTAGGTTAGGTTAGGTTAGGTTAGGTTAGGTTAGGTTAGGTTAGGTTAGGTTAGGTTAGGTTAGGTTAGGTTAGGTTAGGTTAGGTTAGGTTAGGTTAGGTTAGGTTAGGTTAGGTGAGGTTAGGTTAGGTTAGGTTAGGTTAGGTTAGGTTAGGTTAGGTTAGGTTAGGTTAGGTTAGGTTAGGTTAGGTTAGGTTAGGTTAGGTTAGGTTAGGTTAGGTTAGGTTAGGTTAGGTTAGGTTAGGTTAGGTTAGGTTAGGTTAGGTTAGGTTAGGTTAGGTTAGGTTAGGTTAGGTTAGGTTAGGTTAGGTTAGGTTAGGTTAGGTTAGGTTAGGTTAGGTTAGGTTAGGTTAGGTTAGGTTAGGTTAGGTTAGGTTAGGTTAGGTTAGGTTAGGTTAGGTTAGGTTAGGTTAGGTTAGGTTAGGTTAGGTTAGGTTAGGTTAGGTTAGGTTAGGTTAGGTTAGGTTAGGTTAGGTTAGGTTAGGTTAGGTTAGGTTAGGTTAGGTTAGGTTAGGTTAGGTTAGGTTAGGTTAGGTTAGGTTAGGTTAGGTTAGGTTAGGTTAGGTTAGGTTAGGTTAGGTTAGGTTAGGTTAGGTTAGGTTAGGTTAGGTTAGGTTAGGTTAGGTTAGGTTAGGTTAGGTTAGGTTAGGTTAGGTTAGGTTAGGTTAGGTTAGGTTAGGTTAGGTTAGGTTAGGTTAGGTTAGGTTAGGTTAGGTAGGTGAGGTTAGGTTAGGTTAGGTTAGGTTAGGTTAGGTTAGGTTAGGTTAGGTTAGGTTAGGTTAGGTTAGGTTAGGTTAGGTTAGGTTAGGTTAGGTTAGGTTAGGTTAGGTTAGGTTAGGTTAGGTTAGGTTAGGTTAGGTTAGGTTAGGTTAGGTTAGGTTAGGTTAGGTTAGGTTAGGTTAGGTTAGGTTAGGTTAGGTTAGGTTAGGTTAGGTTAGGTTAGGTTAGGTTAGGTTAGGTTAGGTTAGGTTAGGTTAGGTTAGGTTAGGTTAGGTTAGGTTAGGTTAGGTTAGGTTAGGTTAGGTTAGGTTAGGTTAGGTTAGGTTAGGTTAGGTTAGGTTAGGTTAGGTTAGGTTAGGTTAGGTTAGGTTAGGTTAGGTTAGGTTAGGTTAGGTTAGGTTAGGTTAGGTTAGGTTAGGTTAGGTTAGGTTAGGTTAGGTTAGGTTAGGTTAGGTTAGGTTAGGTTAGGTTAGGTTAGGTTAGGTTAGGTTAGGTTAGGTTAGGTTAGGTTAGGTTAGGTTAGGTTAGGTTAGGTTAGGTTAGGTTAGGTTAGGTTAGGTTAGGTTAGGTTAGGTTAGGTTAGGTTAGGTTAGGTTAGGTTAGGTTAGGTTAGGTTAGGTTAGGTTAGGTTAGGTTAGGTTAGGTTAGGTTAGGTTAGGTTAGGTTAGGTTAGGTTAGGTTAGGTTAGGTTAGGTTAGGTTAGGTTAGGTTAGGTTAGGTTAGGTTAGGTTAGGTTAGGTGAGGTTAGGTTAGGTTAGGTTAGGTTAGGTTAGGTTAGGTTAGGTTAGGTTAGGTTAGGTTAGGTTAGGTTAGGTTAGGTTAGGTTAGGTTAGGTTAGGTTAGGTTAGGTTAGGTTAGGTTAGGTTAGGTTAGGTTAGGTTAGGTTAGGTTAGGTTAGGTTAGGTTAGGTTAGGTTAGGTTAGGTTAGGTTAGGTTAGGTTAGGTTAGGTTAGGTTAGGTTAGGTTAGGTTAGGTGAGGTTAGGTTAGGTTAGGTTAGGTTAGGTTAGGTTAGGTTAGGTTAGGTTAGGTTAGGTTAGGTTAGGTTAGGTTAGGTTAGGTTAGGTTAGGTTAGGTTAGGTTAGGTTAGGTTAGGTTAGGTTAGGTTAGGTTAGGTTAGGTTAGGTTAGGTTAGGTTAGGTTAGGTTAGGTTAGGTTAGGTTAGGTTAGGTTAGGTTAGGTTAGGTTAGGTTAGGTTAGGTTAGGTTAGGTTAGGTTAGGTTAGGTTAGGTTAGGTTAGGTTAGGTTAGGTTAGGTTAGGTTAGGTTAGGTTAGGTTAGGTTAGGTTAGGTTAGGTTAGGTTAGGTTAGGTTAGGTTAGGTTAGGTTAGGTTAGGTTAGGTTAGGTTAGGTTAGGTTAGGTTAGGTTAGGTTAGGTGAGGTTAGGTTAGGTTAGGTTAGGTTAGGTTAGGTTAGGTTAGGTTAGGTTAGGTTAGGTTAGGTTAGGTTAGGTTAGGTTAGGTTAGGTTAGGTTAGGTTAGGTTAGGTTAGGTTAGGTTAGGTTAGGTTAGGTTAGGTTAGGTTAGGTTAGGTTAGGTTAGGTTAGGTTAGGTTAGGTTAGGTTAGGGTAGGTTAGGTTAGGTTAGGTTAGGTTAGGTTAGGTTAGGTTAGGTTAGGTTAGGTTAGGTTAGGTGAGGTTAGGTTAGGTTAGGTTAGGTTAGGTTAGGTTAGGTTAGGTTAGGTTAGGTTAGGTGAGGTTAGGTTAGGTTAGGTTAGGTTAGGTTAGGTTAGGTGAGGTTAGGTTAGGTGAGGTTAGGTTAGGTTAGGTTAGGTTAGGTTAGGTTAGGTTAGGTGAGGTTAGGTTAGGTTAGGTTAGGTTAGGTTAGGTTAGGTGAGGTTAGGTTAGGTTAGGTTAGGTTAGGTGAGGTTAGGTTAGGTTAGGTTAGGTTAGGTTAGGTTAGGTTAGGTTAGGTTAGGTTAGGTTAGGTTAGGTTAGGTTAGGTTAGGTTAGGTTAGGTTAGGTTAGGTTAGGTTAGGTTAGGTTAGGTTAGGTTAGGTTAGGTTAGGTTAGGTTAGGTTAGGTTAGGTTAGGTTAGGTTAGGTTAGGTTAGGTTAGGTTAGGTTAGGTTAGGTGAGGTTAGGTTAGGTTAGGTTAGGTTAGGTTAGGTTAGGTTAGGTTAGGTTAGGTTAGGTTAGGTTAGGTTAGGTTAGGTTAGGTTAGGTTAGGTTAGGTTAGGTTAGGTTAGGTTAGGTGAGGTTAGGTTAGGTGAGGTTAGGTTAGGTTAGGTTAGGTTAGGTTAGGTTAGGTTAGGTTAGGTTAGGTTAGGTTAGGTTAGGTTAGGTTAGGTTAGGTTAGGTTAGGTTAGGTTAGGTTAGGTTAGGTTAGGTTAGGTTAGGTTAGGTTAGGTTAGGTTAGGTTAGGTTAGGTTAGGTTAGGTTAGGTTAGGTTAGGTTAGGTTAGGTTAGGTTAGGTTAGGTTAGGTTAGGTTAGGTTAGGTTAGGTTAGGTTAGGTTAGGTTAGGTTAGGTTAGGTTAGGTTAGGTTAGGTTAGGTTAGGTTAGGTTAGGTTAGGTTAGGTTAGGTTAGGTTAGGTTAGGTTAGGTTAGGTTAGGTTAGGTTAGGTTAGGTTAGGTTAGGTTAGGTTAGGTTAGGTTAGGTTAGGTGAGGTTAGGTTAGGTGAGGTTAGGTTAGGTTAGGTTAGGTTAGGTTAGGTTAGGTTAGGTTAGGTTAGGTGAGGTTAGGTTAGGTTAGGTTAGGTTAGGTTAGGTTAGGTTAGGTTAGGTTAGGTGAGGTTAGGTTAGGTTAGGTTAGGTTAGGTTAGGTTAGGTTAGGTGAGGTTAGGTTAGGTTAGGTGAGGTTAGGTTAGGTTAGGTTAGGTTAGGTTAGGTTAGGTTAGGTTAGGTTAGGTTAGGTTAGGTTAGGTTAGGTTAGGTTGAGGTTAGGTTAGGTGAGGTTAGGTTAGGTTAGGTTAGGTTAGGTTAGGTTAGGTGAGGTTAGGTGAGGTAGGTAGGTTAGGTTAGGTTAGGTTAGGTTAGGTTAGGTTAGGTTAGGTTAGGTTAGGTTAGGTTAGGTTAGGTTAGGTTAGGTTAGGTTAGGTTAGGTTAGGTTAGGTTAGGTTAGGTTAGGTTAGGTGAGGTTAGGTTAGGTGAGGTTGAGGTTAGGTTAGGTGAGGTTAGGTTAGGTTAGGTTAGGTTAGGTTAGGTTAGGTTAGGTTAGGTTAGGTTAGGTTAGGTTAGGTTAGGTTAGGTTAGGTTAGGTGAGGTTAGGTTAGGTTAGGTGAGGTTAGGTTAGGTTAGGTTAGGTTAGGTTAGGTGAGGTTAGGTAGGTGAGGTTAGGTTACGTTAGGTTAGGTTAGGTTAGGTTAGGTTAGGTGAGGTTAGGTGAGGTTAGGTTAGGTTACGTTAGGTTAGGTTAGGTTAGGTTAGGTTAGGATAGGTTATCAGCAAAAATCGCACGGTTTTTGGCCGCTAGCGGCCAAAAATCGCGCGATTTTCGCCGGTAGCGGGCAACAATCGGGCGAATTTCGCTGCTAGCGGCCAAAAAACGGGCGATTTTCGCCGCTAGCGGCCAAAAACCGTGCGATTCTCGCAGCTGGCTGGCAAAAATTGCGCGATTTTCGCTGCTAGCTACCTCTCCTGACCCCTTAGAGTGCTGGCACTACTCCTCCTGACCCCCCTAGAGTGCTGGCACTCCTCCTCCTGACCCCCTAGAGTGCTGGCACTCCTTCTCCTGACCCCCTAGAGTGCTGGCACTCCTTCTCCTGACCCCCTAGAGTGTTGGCACTCCTTCTCCTGACCCCCTAGAGTGCTGGCACTCCTTCTCCTGACCCCCTAGAGTGTTGGCACTCCTTCTCCTGACCCCTAGAGTGTTGGCACTCCTTCTCCTGACCCCCTAGAGTGCTGGCACTCCTCCTGACCCCCTAGAGTGTTGGCACTCCTTCTCCTGACCCCCTAGAGTGCTGGCACTCCTCCTGACCCCCTAGAGTGCTGGCACTCCTCCTCCTGACCCCCTAGAGTGTTGGCACTCCTCCTCCTGACCCCCAAGAGTGCTGGCACTCCTCATGACCCCCTAGAGTGCTGGCACTTCTCCTCCTGACCCCCAAGAGTGCTGGCACTCCTCCTGACCCCCTAGAGTGCTGGCACTCCTCCTCCTGACCCCCTAGAGTGTTGGCACTCCTCCTCCTGACCCCCAAGAGTGCTGGCACTCCTCCTCATGACCCCCCTAGACACGCACCTGAGTGGATGCCAATCCTCAGTTTCAGAGTATCCCACGGGCGATGTCTGATTGTAAACTGCTTAACAGCTGAGAGCAGTTTGAGGGCCATGGAGGCAATCTCCCCGGCGTGCTGATCTCCATTGCTGATGGGCAGACCCGACACCACCATATACGCGTCCCCAATCGTCTCCACCTAGTGGGCACAAGGGCATAGAGACACGTTAGTGGATCCTTGTCAGGGTGGGAAATAGGATAGCGTGTAAGGGACTGGTTTGAGGGAAGGATTTAAAGTGTCTTTTTTGGGTGGGTGTGGGTGTGTATAGGTAAGGAGTTAGTAGAGAATGTCAGTGCTATCCTAACCTTGGTGGAGGGTGGATGTGTGTGGTGGCGCGGGGTTGATAGTTGTGAGTTCGTGTTCTGGTGTCTAGCAAGTCTAGGAAGAGGAGGTTTATATGTGTGAAAGGTGATCTTGGGCTGTGTTCGAATAGTCTGAGAGTGAGGAGGATAGACAAGATGATTTCAGGCCCTTTTCAGGCAGCAATGACCAAGAGAACCAAACGGAGAAGTACGCGCAGAGAAAACGAAAAATATGAGCAGAGAAAACGAAAAAATATGCGCAGAGAAAACGGAAAAATATGCGCTGAGAAAACTGAGAAATATGCGCAGAGAAAACGGAAAAATATGCGCAGACAGTTAAATGACAGAGACAGAGTAATGATCGACGATAGACAGGACCAGGGCATAGACAGGTATAGACCAGACGGTCTAAGCCTACCAGGAAAAATCCTTTTTCGTTGGGAAAATCTCACTGGCAGGATGCAACTGGACCTCATCCGGCAAGAAACACAGATTAGTGGAAGGAAGAGACTGTCATTTTCCCCCTTGACGTGTCAACTGAATTTTTCACAGGAAGCTGGAATGGACCGTTCAATTGGCCAATTAAGTAATTAGGGAAATATGAACCATTGTTTAGGAAGGGTGTTCGCTGGCCCTACATAACAATTGGAACGGAAGAGGCAGTATAACACTTAACTACTGACGGATTTAAGAATAGTTTAGTTACACCTAAAGTAGGAATTTCTCCTGAATTTCTTCATCTCAATAATTGTTGATATGAATTGTTCAATTGAGTCAATTCATTGTTCAATTGAGATGAATTCATCTCAAGTGTTGTGTGAGCTAAGAGGAACATTCGTGATGAAAAACAAAGCCAAATTCTTGCCACAATTTTTAGAACAGTTATACATAGGGAATAGGGGTGAAAATAGGCAGAATTTTTAATGGTTCTCACCTTGTAAATGTCATAATCACTGATGATGGCGTCGAAACAGGTGTAGAGCTCGTTCAACATGTTCACCATCTGTCGAAAAGGTTCAAGTTCAAGTATGTTTATTGAGACAAGAAAGAAATACATCTCAAAGGGATAGAGTAGCTTATTTAATATACGTTTTCTTTCAGTATCTGTATGTGTGTCTCTCTCCCACTCTCTCGTACACGTAATGTTTAGGGGAAACTAAACCAAAGTAAACAAAATGAACTGATTGGCTGTGTTAACAGATAAATGATAGCCATAAAATACACATAAATGATAAGAGGTAAATGGTACACATAAACAACACGTCCTCCGAATTGACAGTACGATTTAATACTAAGTGTAATAAGTACATTTTCTTACTGTCATAAACAGTGCATAATTACACTTATGAGGCTGTTACATTCACCCAACTCCCTCCCCTGATTTAATCCTCGTGTTTTGTTAAGACATTCAGTATTTTAGGATGAAGTTTTCAAATTTAATTGGCAAGCCACAAGTTTTAAATATTAGGAATTTCTTTTTCGGGTTTATTAAACAATATAGATTTTATGCAAAATTTTAAAATATCCTTAGTTACTTTACACTTTATTGATATATTTTAGTTTTGTTTTATTAGTTTTATAAAACTGTAATATCAATATAGCGATAGATTAAGTACTAATTGTAATTAAGAAGTAATAAAATTATTATCTTCAAAAACTAAGACGGTTAGGGGAGGTTGTGGTTTTCTATTCAGTTTTTCAGGTAAACTCAAATATTCACAATATATTTGACAGTACGATTTAATACTAAGTGAAAATAAGTACAATTCCTAACTGCCATGAATAGTACATAATTGCACTTATTTGTGTTCTTACATTTACCACCCCATTTTTGGAGGACGAGCCGAAGAAAAACAAAAACATCCCGTTTGTTCTGTTTGTTCAAACAGAACCAACGAGAAAACAATTAATGCAAAAAAACAGGATCAATTAATTTATAAATTAGTTGATTTTTTTATGATCCAATGATTAGTTGATCAACTTAACTGATAAATTAGTTGATTTAATAATTTATTAAATGCAGGCGAGGAGTCACAATAACGTGGCTGAAGTATGTTGACCAGACCACACACTAGAAGGTGAAGGGACGACGACGTTTCGGTCCGTCCTGGACCATTCTCAAGTCGATTATATACACAATCGACTTGAGAATGGTCTAGGACGGACCGAAACGTCGTCGTCCCTTCACTTTCTAGTGTATTGTCAGATTATCAATTTATTAAATGAGTTGGAGTAATTTATATAAGTACACAGCAGGCTTGCGGCAAGGCCCAGTGTAGGGTCCACTGATGTAAATATTGAGCAAACAATTCTATCATTACTTGAGGTCAATCACCATTCACTCTCTTTACAAAATATATTCCCCCCTATTCCACACTTCCATATCTTCCCTCTAACCCAGTTTAGCATCTACCTATCTGTTTATGTCACTAATCTATCCCACCATCCTCATTAAAACCACACCTTCAACCACACATATATATATATATATATATATGTTTCATTGAATATGACCGCATATTCTGTATTTATTATTTCTGGTTTAGGGCTTCTTTCCCTCTAACTATTTTCTTAGCATCAGGGCTTAATTGAAATAGGAGTTCTCCAAAACTCATTTTCGTACTTTTAGGTGAAGAAAAGAATGATTTACTATAGAGTGTATTACACTTATTTGTATAATTAGCACGACGTTTCGAACCTCCATGGTTCATTCTCAAGTGAACAGATCTTACAATACTAGTTGATTTTATACCCGCATTAGGTCAGGTGATAATACAATGAAGGTGAAAACATGGGGGGATACATAGGGGCTGCAGAAGGCTTATTGGCCCATACGAGGCAGCTCCTATCTAAACACAAAGATTAATCCAGTGTAATTGGCCTGTTATGTTGGACATTGTCTTCTGTGTTGGCATTGATATGTTCTCGATGCCAACACAGAAGACAATGTCCAACATAACAGGCCAATTACACTGGATTAATCTTTGTGTTTAGATAGGAGATGCCTCGTATGGGCCAATAAGCCTTCTGCAGCCCCTATGTATCCCCCCATGTTTTCACCTTCATTGTATTATCACCTGACCTAATGCGGGTATAAAATCAACTAGTATTGTAAGATCTGTTCACTTGAGAATGAACCATGGAGGTTCGAAACGTCGTGCTAATTATACAAATAAGTGTAATACACTCTATAGTAAATCACTTCTTTTCTTCACCTTAAAAGTACGAAAATGAGTTTTGGAGAACTCCTATTTCAATTAAGTCCTGATGCTAAGAAAATAGTTAGAGGGATAGAAGCCCTAAACCAGAAAATAATAAATACAGAATATGCGGTTATATTCAATGAAACATGTTTGAAAGAAAACCTGCTGCCATATATATATATATATATATATATATATATATATATATATATATATATATATATATATATATATATATATATATATATATATATATATACTGGCTGCCTGTCCCGACACAACTAATTATTATTAGCATTAATATAATTATTATTATATGCCCTTCGTAATACCCAATTTATAGACTTCAGTCATGTCTGTATTACCCATAGCATTGTAAAAAAAATTTAATCAAGCTACAGTAAGCTTTCTTCGTAATTAATGCTTCCAATTACTAGGATTAACTGTGCTATTCTTCTTCGTATGCATTCAAGTGCATTCTATAATAGGACCAAAGCTGAACTACCATTCTTCAAATGAACCCTAACAATATGGATAGCTTACAGCTGAAGAATGAACCTTGATATCTTGTTTACGTCGCTGCTAGATATATATCTCAGTATTCTGTACCCTTTAATACGTTCATTTGTCCGTTTAAGTTTTGTCTTGGGAGTCCCTTACTAATCACTATTCCCAGATATTTCTCGAATTGAGATTGTGCAGTTTCACTATTGTCTAGTTGATATCTGGGTTCTGTTATCATTACCTAGGGGCAGACCCCCATATATTTTTTCAGCATTAAACGGCACTTGCTAAGCTTTCGTCCATTTTCAGAGTTTATTTGCGTCATCTCGTAGCAATTTTGTGTCTGGGTTTATTTTTGAATCGTCTGCAAATTTGTAAATAAAGCTGTTTAATTTTGCTGATATTTGTATACGCAAGATTGCGTATACAAGATGTTTATCGTGTGGCCACTCCAACTTGACTCAAGGAGCCACTGTTGTTGTTGTTAAAGATTTGCTACCTGGAACAAAAAGTTCCAAGTAGCACGGGCTATGGTGAGCCCGTAGTGCCTTTGACTCTCCAAGAGAAGCTTCTACTACTCACCTGAAGGGGTGCGGACTCAGCGGAGAGGGAAGTAAAGCCAACAATGTCACTAAAGTAGATAGTAACATTGTCGTAACTCTCAGGAGAAACCTGCTCTCCTCTCTTCAGGGACTCGGCGACTGACCTGAGGGAGAGAGACGGAGGGAATGGGGTAGTTAGGCAGGGGAATGAGTGGTACAAGGACCCCAGGGAGGGGTAACAATGAGTAAATATTTTACATGAGTATACCCTCAAGTAGTTTTCTCTCATCACCAAGATATGGCTGAAGCAGAAGAAAATGGGTTACTGGATGCATACATTACGTGTGAAATAATCAAGATGAGCATCAACAAATTAGCAAATTAGGAAAATTAAAAGCAACAGGGGGGTGATATAACCCAATCTAAAATCACAAAGGAACTATCCGATGAGTTTTGCCCATTACTTAAAACTCGTATTCAGAAAATGTACGGAACAAAGGAATAGTCCCCCCTCGATTATATCCAAATGTCATCCCATCTTCAAGAAACGCACAAAACGTTCAACAGAAAACTATGGACTAAACAGCGTAACCTAACCTAATCTCATCTCACCTAACCTAACGTAACCTAACTTTCCTTACATATTACTTATGGCGAATATTCTAAAGACGGAAGACATTCATCCTCAAAGAGTTCACAATCTTATACAATCAACTTAACATGGGTTTTTCAACAATTGAATCTTGGCTAACTATAATTGCACAGAGGACTTGGAGCAGATGTAATGGACTTCTCTAAAGTTTCTGATAAAAGCTTTAGAGAAGTACTTTAGTACCACAGAAGAAGTCTTTAGTACCACACGAAAGACGCACAATAAACAGCAAGCACATAGGAAGCCTGGTCGACGACCGGGCCGCGGGGACGCTAAGCCCCGGTAACCACATACGTACGCTGACGTCAAAATATTAGAAGCTTAAAGCATTGTTTAAACCTAAGAACGTCTAAGGTTTTTGGCTTTCACTGTATGAAAGTCACTTTCATTATATTTCACTGTATGAAAGTCACTTTCACTATATTTCACTGTATGAAAGTCACTTTCACTATATTTCACTGTATGAAAGTCACTTTCACTATATTTCACTGTATGAAAGTCACTTTCACTATATTTCACTGTATGAAAGTCACTTTCACTATATTTCACTGTATGAAAGTCACTTTCACTATATTTCACTGTATGAAAGTCACTTTCACTATATTTCACTGTATGAAAGTGAATAGAATTGGACAAATGTTGAGAGTGGAGTACTGTAAGGTGCGATCTTGGGGCCAATCCTCTTCGTAAATATACTTTAATGACATAATTGAACAAAAAATTATGTCTTTAAAGTACATTCATTATAATAATTATATCAACAATATAATTGTGCAGCAGATTGATGAAGAATAGATGTTGGATAGAATAGAATAGACGAAATCTACCATAACACTCTCCACCTGCTCGGAGCACATGCCGTTCCTCCATCTCCTCCCTCCCTGCACACACACACATCGAGACACGGGAGACATCTCCCGTCTCGCAGGGTGCAGTCGCACCTCCACAGATCTCCAGTATCAGCTATTGATACTGGTAATGGCTCAAAAGGGCCACCATTTACGGGCTATTCATGCCCGTGCCACCTTTTGGGTGGTTTAATCTTATCATCATCATCATCACACACATCCCACTCCTCTTCGCCTCTCTCCCGGCTCCCACACGCTCTCAACTCATCATTGTAACCAAAAGGTTGCCTCAGAATGCAAACCTGCCCTCTGGACACACACCTTATAAAGCTCAAAACATGAAGTCAATCCCTGCAAAACACAACGCAACTGTTCCTATTTTCCGCTCATTACAACTTGTAATAAAGTCGTTACGTCTCGTTATAACGCTTTTATGACGTGTTAGAACGTTGTTACAACTTGTTAGGTGTTAAAACTTAGGCGAATGTTGTAAGAACGACGTTGTTCCGTTGTGTGTTTGGCGAAAATTAGGTGTTAAAACTTGGGCGAATGTTGTAGCAACGTCATAGTTTCGTCATGTGGTTGGCGGGATATTATATAAACTAATGATAAAATCTATGGACTCTGGCTAGAATATTTCACATCCACAGACTTTTGTGAAGGGCATTGGAGTTTACCTCTCTACAGACGTGACCCCTATGTAGCACTCACCATAAAATCCCCATTAATCCTGCCAAGTATAATGAGACTAGCCCTGCTTAGTGCTAGCCTCATTGTAGATATAGATGGAGACCTCACCTTCAAAATGATATACCATCTTTAATAGCAGTCTCCATGGTGTAGTGGTAAGACACTCGCCTGGCGTTCTGCGAGCGCTATGTCATGGGTTCGTATCCTGGCCGGGGAGGATTTACTGGGCGCAATTCCTTAACTGTAGCCTCTGTTTAACGCAACAGTAAAATGTGTACTTGGATGAAAAAACGATTCTTCGCGGCAGGGGATCGTATTCCAGGGACCGTAGGATTAAGGACTTGCCCGAAACGCTACGCGTACTAGTGGCTCTACAAGAATGTAACAACTCTTGTATATATCTCAAAAAAAAAAAAAAAAAAAATAGAAGCTAAATGCAGAGCTGGCAAAAAAATCATTTCAATTTGAGCGGCAAAATAAAAAATCATTGGACCATTTCTTCAAATGGTCCAATGTAATTACAGACAACAAACAACAGCTCATCAGGCCATAAAAGTAGGGCTGAAAACAAGCCACTACTGTTCACTATCAAGGGCAGTAAAAAACACGGAATAGCCTGTCTGTCGAAGCCATAAATGCCAAGATAATACTACATTTTAAAAGACTTTTGGAGTTTTTGTTCAGGAATAACACAGGAACCTTTGATACGCCAGTGGTGGCCCTCGGGGCTGAAATGAGTGACACAGGGTTAAGATAGAAAAGAGGGAAGGAAAACCTGTACGTGTGCCCGGGAGGGCAGGAGGTAGAGAAGGAAGGAGAGAGAGAGAGAGGGAAGGAGGGAGAGTAGTAGTAATGGAAGAGTAAGGTGTGTGGGAGAGAACATTGATCGCTATATTATAAATCAAGATATACCATAGCTGATCTTAACTTTTGTGCGTAAAGTCTACATTTTGTGTGTGGTCATGATGTGTTGTGATATATTGAACTTTGCCTGTACCATTGTTTCAATATTTTTACTGCAAACACAATTTAAATGTCGTCCTATTGAGAGCTTTAAACGATAGTATGAGAGGAGGTTGTATGATCATGTTTACGTCAGTAAGTGTGACATCGAGTGTGTCTCCACTTCGTCCAGAGATGCACCGTAAGTGCTCGAGTCACGAGGGTGTAAAGTGCTTCCTCTACACTTAAGAGTACATATACCCAGGAGTGTAACTGTTCAGTACAAAGAGCATGTACTATTGTGACTGTGTACTGAGTTTCGTTCAATTCTCATAAGGAGTACATCCAGACGTAGATATTAAGATAGTCACCCATTAGAGCCATGTTGAAACACAGAGACTTTAAGGAAATCACTCACTCAGGCCCACGAAGGGACATAGACCCACAAAGGGACATAGGTCTACGAAGGGACATAGACCCACAAAGGGACATAGGTCTACGAAAGGACATAGACCCACAAAGAAACATAGGCCCACGAAGGAACATAGACCCACAAAGGGACATAGGTCTACGAAAGGACATAGACCCACAAAGAAACATAGGCCCACGAAGGGACATAGACCCACAAAGGGACATAGGTCTACGAAAGGACATAGACCCACAAAGGGACATAGGTCGACGAAGGAACATAGACCCACAAAGGGACATAGGTCTACGAAAGGACATAGACCCACAAAGAAACATAGGCCCGCGAAGGGACATAGACCCACAAAGGGACATAGGTCTACGAAAGGACATAGACCCACGAAGGGACATAGGTCTACGAAGGGACATAGACCCACAAAGGGACATAGGTCTATGAAGGGACATAGACCCACAAAGGGACATAGGTCTACGAAAGGACATAGACCCACAAAGAAACATAGGCCCACGAAGGGACATAGACCCACAAAGGGACATAGGTCTACGAAAGGACATAGACCCACAAAGAAACATAGGCCCACGAAGGGACATAGACCCACAAAGGGACATAGGTCTACGAAAGGACATAGACCCACAAAGAAACATAGGCCCACGAAGGGACATAGACCCACAAAGGGACATAGGTCTACGAAAGGACATAGACCCACAAAGAAACATAGGCCCACGAAGGGACATAGGTCTACGAAGGGACATAGACCCACAAAGGGACATAGGTCTATGAAGGGACATAGACCCACAAAGGGACATAGGTCTACGAAAGGACATAGACCCACAAAGAAACATAGGCCCACGAAGGGACATAGACCCACAAAGGGACATAGGTCTACGAAAGGACATAGACCACAAAGAAACATAGGCCCACGAAGGGACATAGACCCACAAAGGGACATAGGTCTACGAAAGGACATAGACCCACAAAGAAACATAGGCCCACGAAGGGACATAGACCCACAAAGGGACATAGGTCTACGAAAGGACATAGACCCACAAAGAAACATAGGCCCACGAAGGGACATAGACCCACAAAGGGACATAGGTCTACGAAAGGACATAGACCCACAAAGAAACATAGGCCCACGAAGGGACATAGACCCACAAAGAAACATAGGCCCACGAAGGGACATAGACCCACAAAGAAACATAGGCCCACGAAGGGACATAGACCCACAAAGGGACATAGGTCCACGAAAGAACATAGGCCCACAAAGAAACATAGGCCCACGAAGGGACATAGACCCACAAAGAAACATAGGCCCACGAAGGGACATAGACCCACAAAGGGACATAGGTCTACGAAAGGACATAGACCCACAAAGAAACATAGGCCCACGAAGGGACATAGACCCACAAAGAAACATAGGCCCACGAAGGGACATAGACCCACAAAGGGACATAGGTCCACGAAAGAACATAGACCCACAAAGAAACATAGGCCCACGAAAGGACATAGACCCACAAAGAAACATAGGCCCACGAAGGGACATAGACCCACAAAGAAACATAGGCCCACGAAGGGACATAGACCCACAAAGAAACATAGGCCCACGAAGGGACATAGACCCACAAAGGGACATAGGTCCACGAAAGAACATAGACCCACAAAGAAACATAGGCCCACGAAAGGACATAGACCCACAAAGAAACATAGGCCCACGAAAGGACATAGACCCACAAAGAAACATAGGCTCACGAAGGGACATAGACCCACGAATGAATTGTGATACATTAAGGTAACAATACCCAAGGAATGAAAACGTACCGAAGAAGAGGGTGGACTAAATTAGACTCACTTGGGTAGCATCCTTAGCAGCAAGGTTTCAGTCTTCTTCTTCTCCTCCATGAGCTGCTTGGTCCGCTCCTGCACCTTGCCCTCCAGGTTGTACGCGTACTTCTCCATCATTGCCAGCATGTTGTCCACGATGTTCAGCTTCCTGGTGAACACAAGGAGGTCCTGTAACGTTAGCGTGGTGAACAGACTGTCTGTGGGTGAGTGTGTGTGTGTGTGTTTACTAGTTGTGTTTACTAGTTGTGTTTACTAGTTGTGTTTTGCGGGGGTTGAGCTTTGCTCTTTCGGCCCGCCTCTCAACTGTCAATCAACTGTTTACTAACTACTATTTTTTTTTCCCACACCACACACACCACACACACACACCCCAGGAAGCAGCCCGTGACAGCTGACTAACTCCCAGGTACCTATTTACTGCTAGGTAACAGGGGCACTTAGGGTGAAAGAAACTTTGCCCATTTGTTTCTGCCTCGTGCGGGAATCGAACCTGCGCCACAGAATTACGAGTCCTGCGCGCTATCCACCAGGCTACGAGGCCCCCTGTGTGGGTGTGTGTGTGTGTACTCATCTAATTGTGCTTGCGGGGGTTGAGCTCTGGCTCTTTGGTCCCGCCTCTCAACGGTCAGTCAACTAATGTACAGGTTCCTGAGCCTACTGGGCTCTATCATATCTACATTTAAAGCTGTGTATGGAGTCAGCCTCCACCACATCACTGCCTAATGCACTTCCTTTTCTAGATGTGTGTGTGTGTATTTACTATTTGTAGTTTTTTACTATTTGTACATACAGGATCGAGCTCTAGGTCTTGGACCCCGCTTTTCGAGCTGTTGGTGTTGTCTAATACAATGACTCCTGACCTATTTCCCTATCATATCTGCTTTTAAAGTTATGAATGGAGTTAGCCCCTACAATCTGCTCTTTAAGGTCATTCTATTTACTCACTATCCTACCTTGTGTATGCTAAAGGAAAACCTTTTATAATCTCTATGACACATCTGAGTCTCAAGCTTCCATCTATGCCACCTTGTTCTGTTGTTATTCATTGTAAACATTTCCTCTGTTTCCACCTTGTCAATCCCTCTAGGTATTTTATACGTCTGTATCATGTCCCCCTTGTCCCTCCTTTCTAGCGTCGTCAGGTTTAGTTCCTTCAGTCTGTCTTCGTACCTCATTCCTCACAGCTTTGGGACGAGTCAACTTCTGCACCTTTTCCAGCTTCCTTATGTGTTTTTTTAAGTGGGGGTTCCAGGATGGGTCGGCATACTCTAAGCCTGCCCTCACATACGCGGTCTACAGTGATCTTAAAGCCTCCTTATTCAGGTTTCTGAAGGATGTTCTGACTTTTGCCAGAGTAGAGTATGCCGCTGATGTTATTATGTTTATATGAGTCTCTGGAGTTAGGTTTGGTGTTACGTCCACTCCCAGGTCTTTCTCTAGTTATAGGGAGGTAGTTTCCCTTCTTCGTGTAGTGGCCTTTCGGTTTCCTGGCTCCTGATCCCATTTCCATCACCTTACACTTGCTGGTATTGAACTCTGGCAGCCATTTCTCTGACCAGCTCTGAAACCTGTTCAAGTCATCCTGAAGAATCTTATAATACTTATCTGTCTCAACCCTCTTCATTAGTTTTGCATCATCTGCAAACATTGATATCGATAAGGCTCGATAAGATAAGACATCGATAACATCGATAAGACTCAACTCCTGCAGTCAAGTCGTTTACATAAATGAGGAATAGTATGGGACCCAGCACCGAGCCTTGAGGCACTCCGCTTGTTACTCTCCGCCAGTCCCACTCCTCGCCCCTCACTCTCACTCTCTGACACCTGTCTGTCAGGTAATTCCTTACCCATGATAGTGCGTCTCCGTCTACACCCGCCTGACTCTCAAGTCTGTATAGTAACCTCCTGTGTGGTACTGTATCAAAGGCATTTTGACAGTCCAGAAATATGCAATCTGCCCAGCCTTCCTGTCTTGCCTTATTTTCGTTATCTTATCATAAAACTCCAGATTTGTCAGGCATGATTTCCCTTCTCTAAAGCCGTGTTGTTGTTGTTTACTTACAGACCTAACTCATTCTAGGTGTGCAACTAGTCTTAACCTTATCATTCTTTCAGGCACTTTGCAACTGGTCCTTGTGAGTGACGCTGGTCTGAAATTAGGTGCCGCTTCTCTATCTCCTTTCTTGTAGATTGGCATCACATTTTGCCTTCTTCCAGCAGCTGGGCAATTCTTCCTCTGTGTAAGTTATAGATTAGTGCTAGAGGTATGCTGAGGGTCTGGGCTGCTTCTTTTAACAACCATGGTGATACTCTATCAGGCCCAGTAACTTTAGTTTCATCCAGTGATGCTACCTATAGTCTTACTGCCTCTGCTGTTACCTGAATTTTTAGAAGTTTCTCATCAGGAGCTGCTGCCTCATCTAGCTCTGGGAGCTGTTCAGGCTAAGTAGTAAACACTCCATGGAAACTAGCATTGAGCTCCTCACAAATTTCTTTATCATTTTCTAAATGATAAAGAATTTGCATATCATTTTTTCCATAGCCTCTGGCAATCTTCACATGTTTATGTAGACATTCCACCACCACTACAACACCCTACACCACCACAATCACCACCCACCACAACCCCCCACCCACCACAATCACCACCACCACCATCCCCTCATACTCACAGACCACTCTGCATTTCCTTCAGTCTCACTCTAACCAGCTTGAAGTCCGGCCTTTCGTCCGGGTCCTCAGCCCAGCACTCCATCAGGCATCTTTGGACGTACTCAGGAGTCTTCAGGCTCCCCAAAGGTGGCCTCAGAGGAGGCTCCTGGCCCTCTGTCACCTGACACACGATCTCTGTTGCAAATGAATGAAGACAAAGGTGAAATTAAAGTGGTGGTGAAGAGCGAGAAATGAAAGAGTTGGAGATGAATGAGAAAATTAAAACTCACACACGCACATGAACACACACACGCACACGCACACACACACACACACACACACACACACACACACACACACACACACACACACACACACACACACACACACACATGAACTGTTCTCACGTCACTAATAAAGTAGAATATGTAAATTAGAAAAATGCTAAATAAACCATAGACAAAAGAATGTAAATGACTGTACAAATTTGTACTTATAATACAGCCAATACCTTACATAATAACCCAAGGTACCACGTGTGTAAAATATTGAGTCCAGGTGTGTGGGAATTATTTATAACAGGCTTCAATTTCACAGTGAACAACGGTGAGGTGTGAGTCACAGTACAGAGAGGATGCTGAGCCAGTGGTGGACTACTGTGTCACAGTAATTATCGACTGTGCAGCTTCAAAAACACGTTGGAAACTTGTTCTACAAGAAATATGAGAGTTTCCCCTTTAATATAATGTAAAAAAAAAATCGGATTCTATGAATCAACCGGAGCCGGTCGGCCGAGCGGACAGCACGCTGGACTTGTGATCCTGTGGTCCTGGGTTCGATTCCAGGCGCCGGGGAGAAACAATGGGCAGAGTTTCTTTCACCCTATGTTACCCCTGTTACCTAGCAGTAAAATAGGTACCTGGGTGTTAGTCAGCTGTCACGGGCTGCTTCCTGGGGGGTGGAGGCCTGGTCGAGGACCGGGCCGCGGGGACACTAAAAGCCCCGAAATCATCTCAAGATAACCTCAAGATAACCTTAAGAGGAAGATAGCCTAAACTGGTATCACTTAGAGAATATGGAATTTCTTCCCTATGGACTGTCGTATGGTGTTCGGCGAACACCATACAACCGAACACTGCTCAACTGTTCGAACTGTGATGCTCGAAACGTGGAGGAAATGTGTTATTACATCTCGAACCCCCTGATGAACTCGACCTGATCACCTTTGAGGAAGTGTTCACTTTGAGCCTGAAGCTTCGTTTGAAATAATTCCTTTGGTTCGTCACAGTTTCCTGCCCAAAAGGTGTCGTTGGGTCATTATGCAAGTAATATTGACCACTGTAACTGTAAGTTTCAACTGTATTTTACGATTTTTCAGGATAAGATGCCATGTTTAGAGTTCCACACTGAAATCAGAATAGCGTGATGCATCAAATGAACAAATCCACAAGGGCATTTGTTCTCAGTCGATTAAGACGCGTCTGGGATTCTCTTAGACGTAGGTTCGAACCCTCGTCACGGCCCTTGTTGATTTTTTCATGTTTAGAGGTTCTTTAAGATACAGGAGAGTTTACCCTGTAGGGAGAACTTGTGGGTAAGGGCGCCCCACGGGCCCTGCCGGCCGACGACTTCGAAGAGAATGATGCCGAAGGAGAAGACGTCGCCCTTCTGTGTCCCTCGAGGGTGGGCCCCTGGCGCCCGCAGCAGCTCAGGGGCCCTCCACAGCTTCTTATGCGGCTCCCCCATCTGGTACGGCGAAGCTGGAAAGGAATGGAGAGGTTAAAAACATGTGGTATCACAAACAAAGACAGCCATGTTGTTGACCAGACCACATAATAGAAGGTGAAGGGATGACGACGTTTCGGTCCGTCCTGGACCATTCTCAAGTCGATTCAGGACGGACCGAAACGTCGTCGTCCCTTCACCTTCTAGTGTGTGTGGTCTGGTCAACATACTTCAGCCACGTTATTGTGACTCATCGCCTGCATACAGCCAAATTGTTGTTGGTTTCAGGTCAATTGTAGTACTACTTTCCACCGACCTTTGAACTCATGGTACAACTTTCCACCGACCTTTGAACTCATGGTACAACTTTCCACCGACCTTTGAACTCATGGTACAACTTTCCACCGACCTTTGAACTCATGGTACAACTTTCCACCGACCTTTGAACTCATGGTACAACTTTCCACCGACCTTTGAACTCATGGTACAACTTTCCACCGACCTTTGAACTCATGGTACAACTTTCCACCGACCTTTGAACTCATGGTACAACTTTCCACCGACCTTTGAACTCATGGTACAACTTTCCACCGACCTTTGAACTCATGGTACAACTTTCCACCGACCTTTGAACTCATGGTACAACTTTCCACCGACCTTTGAACTCATAGTACAACTTTCCACCGACCTTTGAACTCATGGTACAACTTTCCACCGACCTTTGAACTCATAGTACAACTTTCCACCGACCTTTGAACTCATGGTACAACTTTCCACCGACCTTTGAACTCGTGCAGGCCGAAGTCAGCTACTTGAAGTATCCACCTCGAGTCGATAAGGCAGTTCGTGGAGCGAAGATTACCGTGAGAGACGATCTCACTGTCGTGGAGGTAGATCATGCCCTGTGGGAGGTAGATGAGAGGTAGAGTGCTTGCAGAGTAGTCTTCTTGGTAGATGGGGTAGTTAAGGCAACTATTAGGGGGAAAGCGCCAAGCCATGACGACTGTATAGCACTGGGAAGGGGTCAGGATAAGGATTTGGGATGGGACGGGGGGAAAGGAATGGTGGATGGTCTCGGGGGATTGAACGCTGACTTATATGAAGCGAGACCGTCGCTCTACCGTCCAGCCCAAGTCGGGGGGGGGGGGGGAGTTAAGGTTTCATTTTTGTTCGTAATTTGTGTTGTGATTATGTGGTGTAGGTCCACTGATTATCTTGAGGTTATCTTAAGATGATTTCGGGGCTTTAGTGTCCCCGCGGCCCGGTCCTCGACCAGGCCTCCACCCCCAGGAAGCAGCCCGTGACAGCTGACTAACACCCAGGTACCTATTTTACTGCTAGGTAACAGGGGGCATAGGGTGAAAGAAACTCTGCCCATTGTTTCTCGCCGCCGCCCGGGATCGACCCCAGGACCACAGGATCACAAGTCCAGTGTGCTGTCCGCTCGGCCGACCGGCTCCCTCTGGTGTCTATAGTGGTGGTTGGTGGTGGTAGTGGTGGTTGGTGGTGGTAGTAATGGTGGTACTAGCTTGATAGTTAACTAGCAGTGATAACGAGGAAGCGAAGTCTAGCTCCTTAGCCCCCGCCTGATAGCCTTGTCTTACCTCTTGTTAGAGATAATCTACCCGGGGTTCGAACCAAGGGGGACGATATACACGGTCGAGCTACGAGCTTCATATTCCAGTGCTGGTCTAACGAAGGTTGTTTAGATTGCTGGGTAAAAGTTCTAATTAGACTCATTAAATGTCCGACGAATGTTTGGCAGCTTCCAAAATTGTTTCGATGTTAGACTAGATGTTAGGGGCTGGAATCCTGGTGTTAGGACTGGAATTCTGGTGTTAGGGGCTGGTGTTAGGACTGGAATCCTGGTGTTAGGAGGACTGGAATTCTGGTGTTAGGACTGGAATTCTGGTGTTAGGACTGGAATTCTGGTGTTAGGGGCTGGAATTCTGGTGTTAGGACTGGAATTCTGGTGTTAGGACTGGAATTCTGGTGTTAGGGGCTGGAATTCTGGTGTTAGGACTGGAATCCTGGTGTTAGGACTGGAATCCTGGTGTTAGGGGCTGGAATTCTGGTGTTAGGGGCTGGAATTCTGGTGTTAGGGGCTGGAATTCTGGTGTTAGGGGCTGGAATTCTGGTGTTAGGGGCTGGAATTCTGGTGTTAGGGGCTGGAATTCTGGTGTTAGGGGCTGGAATTCTGGTGTTAGGGGCTGGAATTCTGGTGTTAGGGGCTGGAATTCTGGTGTTAGGACTGGAATTCTGGTGTTAGGGGCTGGAATTCTGGTGTTAGGGGCTGGAATTCTGGTGTTAGGGGCTGGAATTCTGGTGTTAGGACTGGAATTCTGGTGTTGGAATTCTGGTGTTAGCTGGAATTCTAGTGTTAGGACTGGAATTCTGGTGTTAGGAGGTGGATTCTGGTGTTAGGAGCTGGAATTCTGGTGTTAGGACTGGAATCCTGGTGTTAGGACTGGAATCCTGGTGTTAAGGACTGGAATTCTGGTGTTAGGAGGGGCTGGAATTCTGGTGTTAGGACTGGAATTCTGAATTCTGGTGTTAGGAGCTGGAATTCTGGTGTTAGGACTGGAATTCTGGTGTTAGGGGCTGGAATTCTGGTGTTAGGGGCTGGAATTTAGGTGTTAGCTGGAATTCTGGTGTTAGGGGCTGGAATTCTGGTGTTAGGGGCTGGAATTCTGGTGTTAGGACTGGAATTCTGGTGTTAGGAGCTGGAATTCTGGTGTTAGGACTGGAATTCTGGAATTCTGGTGTTAGGACTGGAATTCTGGAATTCTGGTGTTAGGACTGGAATTCTGGTGTTAGGAGGCTGGAATTCTGGTGTTATTCTGGTGGGTTAGGCTGGAATTCTGGTGTTAGGGGCTGGAATTCTGGTGTTGGAAGTGTTAGGGGCTGGAATTCTGGTGTTAGGACTGGAATTCTGGTGTTAGGACTGGAATTCTGGTGTTAGGACTGGAATTCTGGTGTTAGGACTGGAATTATATCTACTTTCAAATATTTTTATCTTTCTGTTACTCGTAATTCCATTTTCTATATGCTATACATACCTCCTGGTCTCATTTCAACCGTTCCCATCACCATCTCTTTACATTTAGTGGGGTTTACGTCTAGCAACCATTTGTTTGGTCTTTCTAGACATCAGAGTGGCCCGGATCTCTGAGTGGCCCGGACCTCTCTCTATCTCTAGACATATGAGTAGCCCTCCCATCCCCACCCCTCACCCCAGAATACATAAAAAATAAAAAACATTTTTTCGTAAAATACAAGACTCAACTTTTGTGAGAAAGCTTTGACTGGTAAACAGCACTCATTGATCCCTGTGAACAGCAGTCAAGAACAAACATCAAACAAGCAAACAATGCAGAGAGACGTAATACCTTGTGTCAAGTTCAGTTGGTGTTGTGTATTTGCATTTCATGGATAGAAATGTTTCGTCGCTACAGGAATGCTTTTAACAGGTAAAAAAAATAATAGAAAAGCATAAAAAAATGTCACATGATTACGGTCGGTATATATATATATATATATATATATATATATATATATATATATATATATATATATATATATATATATATATATATATATATATATATATATATATATATATATATATATGTCGTACCTAGTAGCCAGAACTCACTTCTCAGCCTACAATGCAAGGCCCGATTTGCCTAATAAGCCAAGTTTTCCTGAATTAATATATTTTCTCTAACGGGCGCGTTTTTTTTCTTATGAAATGATAAAGCTACCCATTTCATTATGAATGAGGTCAATTTTTTTTTATTGGAGTGTAAAATTAACGTAGATATATGACTGAACCTAACAAACCCTACCTAACCTAACCTAACCTATCTTTATAGGTTACCTATAGGTTAACCTATATTTATAGGTTTTCGACTACCTATACCTATATATATATTTACCTATATATATATATCTTATATATATATATATATATATATATATATATATATATATATATATATATATATATATATATATATAGTTAAGTATCTTCAGTATATATATATATATATATATGACTGAAGACAAACGAGGGCTGACTTAACTATTAAGGTGTAGAGGATCCTAAGAGTAATCCTAAGTAATCCCTTGCTTAGGGATTACTTTAACTACCAGGAGGGATTTATGGTCAGATTAATGAAAAATATACCAGATTTCTCTAAATAATTGTCTCTTAGACGTTTATGTGGTTGTGAGAGTTGATGGTAGTTGAGTCATTAAGGAACAGAGGAGATTGCTTGGATTGTAAGTCATTAACGTAGCTTTTTGACCACTAACAAACCTAACCTAACCTAACCTAACCTAACCTAACCTAACCTAACCTAACCTAACCTAACAAACCTAACCTAACCTAACCTAACCTAACCTAACCTAACAAACCTAACCTAACCTAACCTAACCTAACCTAACCTAACCTAACCTTGAGACACTACGTTCAGTGCTTTTCAAGGTTAATTATTAGTATTGACAAAAATTAATTACAATTTTGCCTACTCCGGGAGCCGGTCGGCCGAGCGGACAGCACGCTGGACTTGTGATCCTGTGGTCCTGGGTTCGATCCCAGGCGCCGGCGAGAACAATGGGCTGAGTTTCTGTCACCCTATGCTCCCCTGTTACCTAGCAGTAAAATAGGTACCTGGGTGTTAGTCAGCTGTCACGGGCTGCTTCCTGGGGGTGGAGGCCTGGTCGAGGACCGGGCCGCGGGGACACTAAAAGCCCCGAAATCATCTCAAGATAGCCTCAAGAAGATAAACTCCGAGGAATTCAATTAAGTCTTATTAGAGTGAAGATAACGATATTCACTATCGCATGTGACAGAGAATCTGTATATTTCAAGGTTAAAGATGATTTAATGCCTCTTTGAAAACAGTCTTTAGGCCTAAGTCAGCAAACTGCCAATTAGCGAATAAAAATATTTTGCAAAGTATATTACAGTAATGAATTAAAAAATGATAAACACTGTTAATTAGCAATGATAAAACGTTTTGATCTTGAAGGGGCATCGAACGATTTCTTTATTTTTATTTATTAATTTATTTATGCAGTTAAAGATTGGTGCCCAGTCAATCCTGCCCGGCCAGTACTTCCATGTACTGCGTGGAAGTACAGAGAGATGCAGTACTGTGTACTGCATCTCTCCAAACGCCTCAGAATCTCTCAGCCTGGCTTCTTAAGCCTCTACGGCTGTCTGCCCAAGCTGTCTCCTGCACTACCCTACCCTATAGGGAAGGAAGGCTTGCCTACCTTACCCCTATGGCGAAGGAAAAAATGCCTTTCCCTGCTCATCCGGAGATCTTTTGAACGTGGCGCCTGAAACCCCCTGGTCAGGCCAACTAGTGAAAAGCTAGATTAAGTGCACAGAATCCTGAAGGGTAAAACTAACCTTCTCACGACGGTCTAAACCCGTTTGGCAGTCCCCGTGGTGTAGTGGTAAGACACTCGCCTGGCGTTCCGCGAGCGCTATGTCATGGGTTCGTATCCTGGCCGGGGAGGATTTACTGGGCGCAATTCCTTAACTGTAGCCTCTGTTTAACGCAACAGTAAAATGTGTACTTGGTTGTAACAACGATTCTTCGCGGCAGGGGATCGTATTCCAGGGACCATAGGATTAAGGACTTGCCCGAAACGCTACGCGTACTAGTGGCTGTACATGAATGTAACAACTCTTGTATATATCTCAAAAAAAAAAAAAAAAAAAAAAAAACAGCATTATATATCTAAAATATATGACGGTCTAAATCCAGCAGAAGCCTGAACTTAGACATGAATGGTGATGAATTCGTAGAAGCAAGGCTTCCGGCCCTCGACGCGATAGGGAGTCCTTGATGGAAAAGGTGGAATTTGAACGCTAGTCCTCGATTTTTCATTTTGGTTTAAGGTGATATTGTATATAAAACCTCTTAAATCCAAAGCCAATCTTGATGGACGTTCATGAGTCTAATAGAAAATGATTTAAAAG